AATTCGGTGGCAGATGGTGGTCACAAGAATTAGAACATGTGTGAGGATCATAGTTACTGTCAACATCTTTGAAAAGGAAACTAAACACAACTGATTGTAATAAGCTAAGGGATGAATCAACGAGATTGTCCGTAAGTAGCTGGAAAGGAGGTACTCGTCACATTGTGAAACCTCCAAGAACACTGTGTTCTAAAATACCCTAAAGACTTGGGAGATGCCTAACAGTTACCAAGTGTGAGGGGGAAAAATCAGTATACTGATTCAATACTAGCCAATTGAAGATATCCTGTGCTATCTACATAATGACCTAACCTTGCTAAACATTTGGAATCAACTGCATTCAAAGAAAAAAAAAGGTAATAGCCAAATACTCAAACAAGTGGGATCTATCAAGTGTATTTCGTAACAGATTTATAAAATCAGTTGACATGAAGAAGAAGGTACACATTATGTTAGTACTTTAATCAAATTTATTCTAATGACATAAAATAGTGGGGTATTTATTTGTAGAGTTGACCCCCATTGTGTGTTTGTGTGTGTGTGTGTGTGTGTGTGTGTGTTTAATGAATTTCCCAGGGCGCCTGGGTAGCTCAGTCGGTTAAGTGTCTGACTTTGGCTTGGGTCATGATCCCAGGGTTTTAGGATCGAGCCCTGCTTCAGACTCCCGGCTCAGCAGGGAATTTGCTTGTCTCTCTCCCTCTGCCCCTCCCACTGCTCGTGCTCTCTCCCCTCCCCCAAATAAATTTTAAAAATCTAAAAAATAAATAAAATAAATGAATTTCCCAGGTAGAGGTGTATGGCAGAAAACTTGTGGCTTATGATTTATTACGAATCAGAAGAATCTGCAAACAGCATTGTTTATTTTGGGGGGTGGAGCTTTTACACAGAAGAAAGAGTACGATAGAGAAGAGTCGAGGAGATAAGAAGAATTAGCAGAATAAGATAATCTGTGTGGCAGAGGGGGTTGCTCCCACCTGTTGGTGATGCTGCGCAATAGTTTTGAAAATATATTGGAGGGGCACCTGGCTGGCTCCTTCAGTGGAGCATGCGACTCTTGATCTCAGGGTCATGAGTTCAAACCCCACATTGGGCATGAAGCCTACTTAAAAATAAATAATACATATAATAGAATCCTAAGCCAGTCTGAAAGGTATTTTGTTTTGTTTTGTCTTTTGTTGGGGTTTTTTGTTGTTGGTTTTTTTTTTTTTTTTTTTGGTCCACACTTCCATTTCCATCCTATCATGAAATTTGTACCATACGATACATCACTGGTAGTGATACTAAAATATTTAAGAACAAATACGACGAAGATACCCCCCACTCAGAATGGACAAGCTGTCCAGACTCCTGAGGTAAACACTTGGTTCATAATGGTCTGGAACCTGGAAGAAGTGGTCTTAACCACCTCCAGTTTCTGGGTCCTTTCGGTCACCGTGGTTGTGGGTACACTAGCTGCACCTCAGAGGGGCATGGGTAGGGGCAGGGGAGAAGGGGAGCTCGAAATTCACTTTAGCTAGACCATCTAGACTCTATTGTAAAATGTAACTGAATAGAAAGGTTCTTTGTTAATTGGATTTCCCCCCTCTAATCTGGATTACATCTTCTATCAGTGGAAAAGGGACATAGCAAAAAGGTAAAGAGTAGAGAGAATATTCAGCCCAGGTGAGAAGCCTTGGTTTCTTTCCTGTTCTTTGCAACTTATTGGCTGAGTGACTTTGATGAAAAATTCTCTGAGAACCAGGTTCCTTACCAGGAACAAAACCCCATAACAGAGTCTCTCCAGTGATACATTGTGTATGAAAGTGCTTTGTAAACAGACACACACTTAGGAAAACTTATATTTTATTTATTTATTTATTTATTTATTTATTTATTTATTTATTTATTTGGGGGGGGCAGGGAAGGGCCGAGAGAGGGGCAGAGAGAATCTCAAGCAGATTCCCCATTGAGCACGGAGCCTGATGTGGAGCTCAATCTCACAACCCTGAGATCATGACCTGAGCCCAAATCAGGAGTCACTCAACTGAGCCACCCAGGGCCCTGGTAAACTAATATTTTAAAGAAACCCTGAAATAAAGGGGCCCCTGGGTGGCTCAGATGGTTAAGTGTCTGCCTTCGGCTCAGGTCGTGATCCCAGGATATTGGAATTGAGCCCCTCATCGGGCTCTCTGCTCAGCGGGAAGCCTGCTTCTCCCTCTCCCTCTGCCTGCTGCTTCCCCTGCTTGTACACACTCTCTCTCTGTCAAAAATAAATAAAATCTTAAGAAAAAAATAAAAGAAAGAAAGAAACCCTGAAATAAGAATTACCATTTTAAGGGAATAATCAGCCCTGAATCCAGCAAGCACATGTTTTCATATATTGAGATTAAAAAAATAATAATAAAGGAGTAAACTTCATCAACTATTTTCCAGATCACTTTGGAGCTTAATCAGATATATATTTTATACCATTTTGCCTGCTTTGTGTCTCTACAGTTCCCACTTAGTGACCTTCAAAGAGCATGCTGTTAAGTTTGTATTATCTAGATCCCCGCCGCTGAGCCACTGCAATTGACACAGTTGACTATAGGTTTCCAAAGACAAATACTTATATTAAACTGGTGGCTGAGAAATGTAGGTTACTTGGCCCAATGGTAGCTTATGTTAGGAGACTGTGGTCCAGTTGCCTTGCCTTCTTGGGACCTTTGTCCTACCAACCAGTGAATTGTGAGATAGAAAAGTTTGCCTGCTGGAAACCATTTGGCCAGCATTAGAGTCCAGGATGTAGGCTAGACTGGAATCAGGTGAAGAGAGGAGGAAGGGCTTTGGATAAGAAGGCAGAGCTGGGAATGGCTCCTAGGGAAATCTCTAAGGACCAGAGAGGCCAAAAATGGAAGGAGGTGGGGACACATGGCAGATTCCTTCATTTCCTAGAAAGGGTTCAATCCAGGTTGGTTCTATTTCTGTAAGATTCCTGGAGCTGAGCCTGAGCTGGCTAATAGGGTATATATGGATTGGCAGCCATAATTTCCAAAGAGAAAAAAAAAAATTTCCCCTAGTTTGAGCCTTCAGGAACCTTTTGAAGGGCTCCAGGGTGGGTTTTTTTTCTACTGCCAGGAAAATAGGATATTTTAGTAGTTCTGAGGATCTTTCCTAGGACCAAAAAGACAAAGCGTTGAAAAAAGAATTGGGCATTCTAGTAAAAGAGGAAATATTTGATCAGAAGCAAATTAGATCTGAGTAAGCATAATAGCAGGGGGGACAAGAGATTCCTATATGATTCTGAGTTTTATTTGAATAGACATTAATAAAATGGGCTGGAGTGGTGATATTCCACAGGCAAGATTTTACTAATGCTATTTGACAACTGCATATTGTGAGTACCTAGGTTTAAAGAAAGATGTTAAATTTAGGGAAGGGTCTTATAAAGAGCTAACTATAATTATTTATCTCACTTTAGCTAATAACCCAATTCTCTAGCACTAAGGTACATTTCTATTAAAGCAAAAAAAATATCAAGGAGGCTAAAAGATTACTAGGGATGACCTAATAAAGATGAAAATGAGATGGGTTGAAATGCAAAAACAGATTTATGCTAATTGGAACAGTTATAAAGATTCAATTCTGCAATACAATCCATTTAACGTACTTTCCTATTGATTAGTGGTAGCTGGCTGCTTTAGCTAGACCATCTTTGGTAAGGGAATTGTGTTCTTTGCAAAAACCTTTAAAATAGAGGCTTACAATATTCAACTACTTTTTACACAAATTATTTTTCTATTAGACCCCAAATAGAAAGCATATGCATTTCAATATCAGCAGACTGAAATTGTTTGACTTAATATGGAATTTATGAATGAAGAAGAGAAAGCTCTATCACTAAATGTGGATTATTGGAAGTTATTTTAGACACCAGCTTGAAATGTTTTTTTACAGCCTTAGAGTAGAGAATAAGACTGTATGAATAATTCATTTAGTCCTAGAAATACTAATCAAATAGTTTGGACAGTGATATGTCTTTTCATTTTGACTAATTGCTGATCTTTTTTTTTTTTTAAGTTCCTGGCCAACTGTGATTTTTTTGGAGGGGTTCTGAATGTTTGTATTAACTCCTATGGGAGATTCTTGGATTTTGATGAACTTCCATACCAAATGTTAGTTTGTATTGACTATATGGTGAGTAGGCTACTGTAAGCAAATGAAGAACTGTGCTCCGCCTTCTTGTCATTTTGTGAATGGATTGTGAAGGGTTTGTTAATTTCCTCTTCACTCCACTGGAGCAGATACTCACAAATATCTGCAATGTCCCAAGACTGTTTTATTTGCATATTGCGAAGAATGGTTTGGGGGAGGGTTGTTTGGGAAATAGGATAATAAAGTACATTAAAAATAGAAGTACTTGGCCTTGTTTGCATTTATTCCTGGTATCTTTAGTAACAGTCTTGACTGTGTTGCTTTCCAGCCAAGTTTTTTTGTTGTTGTTTTTTGGGGGGTTTTTTGGAAAGGGTAATTAAAGGGGCTGGGACTCCATCTATCTGATGGTCTGCCTTGCCCGAGCCCTTTCCCTTAGCCCTTCCTGCATTTCATCTCCAAACCTAGACTGCCTTGGCCCTCAGAGATTTGCAAAGTGCCAAATGGGTCTTTCTGACTCTGTTATAGGGCTGTTGCCCTTCTATTTTGTCCTGAATCCCAAAGATAAACTGCCTCCCTCCGTTGCCTTCCATTCTTGTTGAGAAAACACAGTATATGATCTATGCATTTCTTTGTAAAGTAAGAGTGCAAGCATTTCACTAACGTTTCTAGTTAAATGAGACCCATAAAGCACACTGACTTGACGCTGAGACGGAAGGGAGTGGGGGTAGCTGAATCGGCTGGAATACATAGCCCTTTGCCTAAAACTGAATGCATTGCTCAGTGCTTAGTATTAGATTTATGGAATGGCTCCTTTCCCAGCGTTGTCCCTGCTTTCCACAATTCGGTGCTTTTGTTGCTATTGAAACAGCCTTACTTTCTGAGCCATTGTGATTGTGCAGGGGGAGGAGGCTGTGGCGGGCTGGGGTGGTAGTAGTAGTGAATGACACAGCTTTGCCAGATGACATGTAGCGGACCTCTGCATCAGCCAAGAGGAATTAAGCTTTGTCACTCCCCACTGGGACTACCTTTCTCCTGGTATGTGCGCAAGGAATTCATATGCTGCTGCTGCAAGCACCAGAGCAGAGCCCTGGGTACACTTGGCCACAGAAGGCAGTGAGCAAGAATGATAGCTGTCTCTTTTAAATGCCGTTGTCAAATTCTGAGACGACTTACTAAAGGTACCGTGATTTCCTTGTTATTCACTCTGCGAGTCTGTTGCAGTAGCCTATAAACACAGTTTAATGGTTTTTACTTTCAAATATGACCGCCTTTACAATTTATTGTCAGGCAACAAAGAACTCAGTGAAATATGTATAGATATATATGTACAGGTAGAGTCGGCTTTGCTTTTCGTCCTTACATCCTGGTTGTGCTCATGCTGAAATTAGGAAGAAACCTGGCTTGTGTGGGGGGGGGAGGGTTGTTTTTTTGTTTGTTTGTGTTTCTTTTCTTTTCTTAACGACTTCATTCATTGCTGAAAAGAAAATGTGTTGGGGTCCGGTGCTGAACTTATTATGAGAAACCGTCATTTGGCATACTGATTAACTGGTCAAGAGGGGTCAAGTGCGTGTTACCATCCTTTGCATGATACATGTACTAAATGCATTTGGCAGCTTCAGGACTCACACAGCTGGTGAATCCACAGAATCATTGTTTATTCTATTAATTTCAAACATCTCATGCGCTTTCTCCAAGGACAGCTTTATTTATTTTTTTATGTGTTAGAATTGCATTTTCAGAAATGCAGGTAATTTGAAATGCTTTGGTCCTAGGTGATATTTGAAGAAGTTTATTTGAAAGTGAAAATCATTCCTCTGTATCTTATCATCAAGAATTACTGGCTTGAGATTGTCTCTCTTAGAACTCTAAAATAGTAATTAAATCTCTCTGTATCATTTAAATTATGCTTTTCTTTGAAATCTCTCTATCTGTGCCATCTCATTTTACTTTGTGTGCATTCGGTTCCAAAGTTAGTGAAAGCTTAAAAATTCTGCCTTAGCTACGTATAGATATGTGAGCCCTCTTGCCTTCTTTCCTTTAGATAGGATCTTCTTTAGAGAGAATTTATTATTTAAAAAAAAAAAAACTTTACTCATCTGTGTACCTGCAAATGTCTTTCTTTTTTAGCCTGTAATATAGAGTACTGTCAAGTAATTAATGGGTGTAATTATGCTCTAGAAGCTCTGAACCTATAAATATGTTAATGGATGCTATTTCTATCAGTTTAGCTTGACATATCAGAGTTCTTTGATCACCAGCAGTGCAGCTAAAAATGCAATTAATATTTTATTTGGCAGAAGAATGAGCACAAAGCAAATAGTGAGAAATAGATCTTGAGTCAATAACAGGAAAGAGAATAAATACTATAGCCCAACTTACCGAATGCATTTGCAAGTTGTTTGGATAGCAGAGCAAGTCTTTTAAAAGGTACTTTGGGGAAAATATAGGAAAGACTATCCATTTTCAATTAGGCTGTTAGCATGGGGTAGTAAATTCTGTTTTCACTGTATCCTCTGCAATTGGTATAAATGTACAATTTCTGTTTATGAACCACTATTAAAAGACTATCCTTTATGTTATGGTTTTGGCTAAGACTTTTGAAGAAAGAACTCTTATTCTGAAAAGTTCTTTTCTTAGCTGATTTTAGCATCTACCTATCTTGATGTTGAGAAGTTGATGCTCTTCTTACATTATAATCATGGAACAATAATTTTTACTCCTGTGTATCAGAAATTCTTTTATAAGTCCTACATACTAGAATGAGAGTGGACCCAAGCAATATTATTACAAACATTTTTTTTTAACTTTTACCAGTTTTCCGAGTCTTCTGGAAGCAGTAGTCCCCTGCAGTGAAAGGAGATTTAAATGTTTACTAAGGCAGTTGCTAAAAATCTAGATAAATGAAGAAAGTATTGATGCTTTCTTTGTAGTTGCCATTTCACTTTTTTCCCCAAAATCCTTATATCTGCTGTTTTCTATTTGGTACTTAGCTTTAAGACTGCCAATTGACGACTAAAATAAAATCTATATATGGAAACAATTTACATACTTTTGACTCTTCTGCGTGTCTGACTGGATGTCGAAACATTGGCAGGGGTGTGTCTGAGTGGTGCAGCGCCTTACCATGCCATCCACTCATAGTTCTGTCAAACCAGGTTCAAGGCTCACCAGTGCTACCTGTTGTTCATTGAGTTCTTTGAACCCCACCCCTACCTGTGGTGCTGTTTTTCTTAGACTGTTACAATAAAACCAAGGAATAGAAGTAATTGCAATCTTAATGCTCCTTCTTTGGGCTTTTTTTTGGGGGGGGGTGCAGAGATGGTGTGTGGATTTGCACTGGGATGAAGTTCCTTTCTTTGCTGTCTCATCTTCCTCATCACAGAATTCCCACACCCTCAACCTCCGCCCCCAAAACACGTGTATATTTTACACTCACTGAGGACTGCAACTAATACACTTTCTCCAGATACTTAGCACAGTGCCTTTGTGGAGTAGGCTCAGAGTAACGTTTGGTAAAATGAATAGGATTTGCATAGTTGAAATTGGTAGGACTTTTGAATTATCCATGAGCTCTTAGCAAATGTTTCAAGTTCCTCACTAGGCTCCTGGCGGCTAGAACCTTATCCAGATCTTGGGCAGGGGGAGGAAAGATGAGCTTCATGTTTCTGGGACTACCTTGCTATTTGTGGTTGATGTCACCCACAAGTAGTATGGCAATTGCAATATCTTTTTTAATCATCTTGAGGAGAAAGGGTGCAAATAAAGGAAAACTATTTTCTACACATACCTACACTTTTTGTAGCTGACTTGTGTTTTTAGCCTCTTCATCCATCTTTCTATTGTCCATTTAACAAATACCTGTTGAGTACCTACTGCGTGTGCCAGGCACTGCCATTTTTTGCACTAGAATCCTAGGCTGGGATTTTTATAGGTGTATGGAGCATTTTTTAAGCAATATATTTTTAACGATAAATAAGTAGTTCTTTACTTGAGAATAATTGTCAAGGATCATCCCACACAGAGGCATGGCCCAGAGTATTATGGCAGAGCGTGTTTTAGGTGAACTTAACACTTCTCAGATTTGGGAATCGAGTCTTCTTTTCTTATGAAGGCTTCAAGCAACTTTCAATTGGTTGGCCTTCTTGGTCCCCTACAAAGGTAGAACCGGAAGAAAATAACCTTAACTTGAGAGGCCTGCCCCTATCATTAGGATAGGAACTTCGAGCCCCTCAGAGACCAAACTCTGTCGAAAGCATTCTTTTCCACTCAGCGTTGAAGTCTAGAGAAGAGATGCTGTCTTCTGCCACTACACCTGTCCTCTCCTTCAGAATGAGACTGTCTACTGATTACCTGGCCTTGGTGCCAAATTCAAAAATAACATTTTCTCAGCTTTCTAGCCACATCTGACAGAGGAATTTTCTTGAGCGAGTAAAGCCTCCCTACCTTGGCGCCTAGCTTCACAGCTGCTACCTCTGAGAGTCCTGCTTTCTCCGCCAGGGGCTACAGTCCTCACGAGAAGTGAATCCATTCTCTGAGAAGGGACTGTATTTTCACAGCTTCGACAGGCTTTGTGCATTCTCTCCTGTCATGGTTTCATCGTCTTTCTCCTTGAGCCTGGTTGGCCTCAGGTGTGCAGCCTCACTTCCTGTAATGGTAGCGGGTGTGACTCTCCTCACTCCTCAGGGGCCACTGTTTGGGGTCCACAGACCTGAACTTTCATGCCCCGCTGACAACGGCATTTTCCTTTCACGGGCTGTACTCTGTCTACCAAAGTCAACATCAGCCAGTAAATACTTATGGACATTCCACAGGGAGCGGGGCTCTGGTCACCCTTTGTGTTTTGTCGTCATTCACTTTGTCTTCCTGTCTTCTCTCTGCCGGCTCAAAACTCATGTCCAAAATTCTCTGCCTTCATTTTACTGCAGATTCCGAAATCATAGCTGGCCTCAGGGTCATTTTATTTCCTACCTGCCTTCCCTTCCTCTCTCTTCCCAAACACACATGTGGCCTAGAATTAGAATTAACTGTCTCTGCCCCTGTCCCATGAGCTTACTATACAGGCAGCCCTGTTGACCTGCATCCCAGTGGGGTATCCGAGTGAGACGTTTGTGGCTGGCATCCACCTGCTCCCTGCTTTGCCTCTTTCTCCTTCCTGATTTCTCCTCCCAACCTTAGTATCCTTTCTGCTTTTCCAATGCCTGAACATTCACGGGCATTACTTTATCCACTGCCACTGAGCAGGACTAAAAGGCCTTGTTCCTGTCACACCCGCCATTCTCTTCCTTTCAGCCTTTGCTCCGTACACTTCCCCCAATCCCAGACTTAACCGTGCTTGAAAGGGAAGGTCAGCCGTTAATCTAGGACTTGTCTCCCGAGAGAACTGAAACTCAACTCTCCTAGACAGCCAGCAGTCTCATTCTCAATTCTCCCCAACAAGAGCAATCTCACAACGTGTCTGATAGTCTTCCAAAGGGTTATTCAAGTGACCTCTGAGTCCCTCTAAACTCTGAGATTCTTTGACACTCATGCCATGTTTAATTTTTTTTCCTATTCAGAAATTCGTCTCCCATATGCAATCTCAGTCAACTGCAACAATACATTTAATTTTTTTGTCTTGACGGAAGAGGAAAAATACTTCTTAGCCCTTCCCTTTCTGCTGCATTCTTTTAACCTGAGGAACTCACCGGGCTCATGGCATTGTTCTGGACATGATTGCTCCTCTTCTGATAGACTCAGATTGTCTGTTCAGGTCCCTCTGCACTTGCCCATCTGTCTGTGTCTGTTCTCCCAGCTCCTCCAGCATTCTCCTCTAATGGGTCCTCATCCACTCCGTGATGTGATTCAGAACTGATTATCATCTGGGTTGAGAAGGCCCTCTCTCTGCTGGACATCGTCCTCCCGTCTCCCCATCCCCATTCCTTCTGCTAGCCCTCGCTGGCCTCCTCTGTCAGACCCTGCCATCTGGAACAGTGCGGCTGTATCTCTGCACCTCATTAAGCTTCCATCCCTTTTCAAACCTCACCTGAAAACATATCCTTTCTCCTTTGCCTCTACCACTTCATTTCATCCTATCAAAGCTAGTTTATCATTCCAACCTATAAACTTTTAAAAAAATACCCCATGCACTTAAAAGTTGTTCCACAAAATACAATTGCTTGTTTTGTTGGAGTTTGAGCTG